ATATCGCCTCAGGAGAAATACCCGAGGGAGAAGGTAAGGGAAATCTTGCTATCTTGCATTTCCTCAACGCCGTGTAAGGTGAACCTCCCGAATTTTGTGGAATTGGCTGATGAAATGGCGTCGATCCAGCAAGTTGTTGAGCAGCTCGCAAATCAGTACTCAACGCTGATGGTCTTTGTGCAGCAACAAAAAGTGGGAAAATTTTTCTCTCTGATTTTGTGGTGATGTATTTTGTGGTAGATGTCGCTGGGCCCTGCTGGAGGTGATAATGTGTCTTCGGACGGGATCTCATCGGCGGCTAAGATGAATATGTTTGCCACAAGTGGAATAAGTGGGAATATAGGTTTGGTTTCCTCCTCAATAGTTGAGCTTGGGAGTCTCCTATATTCACTCGTTTTATGTGAAGTGGTGTCATGTGAAAAACGTGCGGTATGCAGTAGTCGTGAGATATATTTTTCACTAATGTTTTACTTTACTAAGCATGTGAATATTTTCCCGCATGCATTGACATGTGGAGGGATCGAACCGGGGATCTTTAGATGTGCAGGTGGGAGTAATGTCGGAATGGACATGATGTTACAACAACAGTTGATGTTCAAGGATAGTGAGGTAAGGACTGCTAACCAGACTATTATGGAACTGAACTCTCAAATGGCGAGATTCCAGGTGGTAGAGATGGGCGTTGTGCTAGGATGGGGTAGAGTGATGTGTTGCTTAGAGTGGCGATATTGACGTTGCTGGCTTGACTCGGGAGATCGTCAAGTTGAAATCGGATATAGCACAGAAGGTGAGATTGATTGGCAGTGGTGATAGAGGAAAATTGGTGGTTATTAAGAAATGCCCAGACCCAGGATCGAACTGAGGACCTCCAGATCTTCAGTCTGGCGCTCTCCCAACTGAGCTATCTGGGCTTGTATATTGTGGCCTTGTTTTTTGTTGTTTAGCGCATGTGCCTTGGGTATGAAACTGGATCCTTGCCTCAGGACATGATGCTGCAGCAATGTGCCGGAGGTGGTGGCCTTGGAGGTTTCGGCATGGGCATGAGCTCGGCAAACCTTGGTGGGGAGCCTGCGCCTCAGGAGGTGTATGAAGAACTCCTTCTCACCCAACAGGACTGTCGCCACCTACAGCTTGAACTTGAATGGTAGGAACGCGGTATGGGGTTGTGTAGGAGGATGAGAGTAGCTAGTGAGAAAGTTGAAGGGAGGACGCGCACGCCATCTTGATCGATTGACTAGAAGCTCTGCAAGGAACCTTCAGTCCGATGAATTCGGATTGTGCCCGACTGCGGGAGTGGACGACGCTAGCTCGTTCTGACCTTTTTGATAATTCCTAACCGCCTGTAACGTGTCTGTATGCCGTGCTGAGCGCGCACGCCATGGTGATCGATTATGGGGAACTAAATTTCTTGTTGGAGGAGTTGGCAGGTACCACGGTAAGCTGCATGAGTTGGTGGTATCGACCAATCATCTGGCCCAGGACAATACTCAAC